ACTCTAACTTTCTGTTGTGTCTCAAAGACGGGCAATGAAGGGAAATGTCTCCAATGGGACACAAACACCAAAAGATAAAAAAGGACATTGGTTTTAACCCTAGCCTACTCTATCCAAAAAGGTATTCGCCATATATACACTTTGAGATCAGTTCTGCAGGAGTCTGGCTGCAAATACTTGTTTGATCTTTTTCTCAATTTTTACCACATATTAAAAGCAATTCCAGCGAAAACACTGCTATCATGGTAAATCAAGTGTTTCACAGACAACCCACAAACACAGTGACATTAATAAAGATGTCAATTTACCTTATTTTGAGAAATGTCCTTGGGTTCTTTCTTCACATTCAAAATCTTGCAATTCTATCACTTCTACTTTTGAGTCCCTTTTTTCATACCACACATTAGAAGGCACATGAGGGTCCTGGAAAGGTCCATGTTCATCTTCATGATACCCACTGTAGAACGGGTAGCTACCACGAGCACTGTGGCTACACAAAGAAGGATGAACTGCTACAGTAACTGAAGCAGAGGCAGTCACAGTAGTAATAGGCTGGCAGTATGAAGGCACTGAAGGACCCGCTGGAGCAAAGGCAGGTTTCCTGTTGTTCTGTAAGTGGGGTCTTTGCCCTGAGCGTTCTCTGGTACTAGTCCCACTATGCTTCTCAGCAGAAGATTCAAAAGCGTCTTTGCGAGGTTGGTATGGAGGTGGACACACACCATCTCTCGGTTCCCACCTCTGATTCCTACTAGGTCGCCACTGTTGCTGAGGTCTGGGGTCTTGATTAGCTTGTGTCCTCTGATTTGACTGGCTCTGTCTGGTATCTGGTATAACAACCTATGCAGATTAAAAAAAAAAAAGAAAATTACTAAAACAGCTTCATTCACTACATCTACAACACTCCTTTCTGTCTGTTCCACCAGTGTGACGTTTTACTGTCAACAGCATCATGCTAAGACATAAATGCCCTGGTATTAAAATTACCACTAACACAGTAATGAAACAAAAGCATTAAAGGTGACCACAGATATGTTGCACAAATTCCAAACTGTAATACTCACAGAACTCCTAGGGAAGACCGGGTTTCTTGTGGCCTCCACAATAACTTGATGAGGTGGTACTCCAGTAGACTGTTGAGCCTCATAGTGACGAAGCTCCTCACTGATGCCAGATACCGTTGTCTGAGAACCTGACTCAGAGTCTGAAGAATCAGATCCTGTGTGTGCTTGCCGTGTGAACACTGGAAACTTCACAATACTTGGTGGAGGAGCTAAGCAGGGTGTGGGCAGCCGGTCTCTTCCATCAGTGGGGGAGACCTGTTTTTTTTTTTAACAAATATTACAGTTATTTAATGACTTGCCTCAATATGCTACTGTTACATAAATTACTTATTTTTACTGTACATGATTATTTTGGGCTTCAATACTTCAACATTCAGTATGTAGACTGATGCTTTGACTTCAAAACTTTCTGAGTTGCCGACCTAGAGCCAGGAAAGCAGCAAGGAGTGCTCACTTTTGTCTGGCTTTCATTGATTTCATACTTGTTTTGGCTCAGTGATTTGGAAGTACGGAAGCCAGATACAAATCAAGCAACTGTCAATTTCAGAAAGAGGCCGCCATTACCAAACCATGTTCCATTTGTGGCTTGACAAGTGTACTTCCACTAAACCCCTGCACTGGTTAGAATCTGAATAAGGAAATTCTTACCTCAGGGTAAGGCCCGAAAAACGAAAGGAGAACTGGGAGCAGCACCAATCCATTCAGAACTCCAAGGAGGGTTAATATTGCAAGGACCGCAAAAAAGTATCTACAAGGCAGAGAACAGCAAATTCAGCATCTTCCTAATTAGTATATGTATACGAAGTATAATCAATATAGTACACTTCTAATTGGAGATCATTTTACTTATGAATAATATGAATGGTATAAAACATGCATTTATAAGGCCCAAAAAAAATAAAGGACACACAGCAAGACAAAACAATGGGAATTAGTAACACATATTTGAATTTACCTCAGATACTGCATTCCACAATTCAGTGTTAGTTTGGGGAAAAGAAAATGGTTATATTGTTAGGAAAACAGTAGGCTTGAAAGATTACTTGTATATATGAAAATGTAACATGTGACTGAAAATTATGGATAGAGGGGAATAGAAAAAGAGCCTGCACACCCCCACTCTACCAGCCCCATTCTGCCTATTAGCCAGAACCCAGAAAATGATAACAAATGAAGGGGAAAAAAAAAAAAAAGGATCATTTCCACAAAAATAGTCTTTACTAGAGGAGAGAGCCACTTCTACTGCTGCTAATCCAATGTGAACGGTTTGTGAAACTTACTATAACAATCTCCAATTAAACCTCCAGTTTGTCAGGTAAAAGTTTTTCTCCTTTTTCCCCGTGTTATTTAATGACTATACTTCTCTTAGAATTCAGTGAGTTTCAGTTTTACCACATAGCTTAAATTGCAAACCGTTTTGAACAGGGAACCAGCTTTTTGTCCAAGAAAATGCTTTCCATTCTATGGTATGCCTCAGCATTGTACGTAGTAAAAGGCTCCACAATGGCTGAGCTGCATTGCAGGCTAATCTTTTGTTGATCAATTTAGCATCTCTGAATACTCTTGTTTTGAGTCAGCCAATTCAAACATAAAGGCCAAAGTAATGGGGAAGAGGAGGGAAGTGCACAAGTGCATGTTGTTTCCCACCACTGAGACTTATGGTCAGGGATTATTCAGAAATATTCGGGGATTATTCTGAAATATTCTAAAAATTAAGGTTATTTGGGCATTTTCAATGTAGCATTTGAACATGTTTACTGCCTTTTTTTTTTCTTGTGCAATAAAACATTGAGTGAGAAACTTGGTAAAATCTGTGTCTGCTTTGTGAGAATGAAAAGAATAGAGAGGCCTGCAATAGAGTCCCTTTTTTCAACAGGTCAGATGTCCCTTCAAGATTTAACAAAAGGGGTTAACCAAGTCCTGGCACAAATACAGCCCTTGTTTTCCACTATCTTTTTTGGATGAAATCCTAACATACAAATAACCTGGTTCTGTAAACATCTTGGAAAATCTTAACTCCATTAGCACAATCAGCAAGCCAATGTCCTATTCAAACGCAAACCAAGTAAAACTTAAAACTGGGATTTGTATCAACAAAAGACCCCAGAAACATTTGTATGTCATCCATCTAGCACTTGCATAAACAATGCGATTATATTTCTGTGCAGTCTGCATATACAGTGTCTGCACATTTACTCCCTTTTACTGAAGGACACAGTTCAGCCAATCTTTCTGCCTTCCCAAAAGATTTGGAACTTTGGTATCCCCCTGGAACAAACCTGTGATCACTCCACATCAAGTTCCAAAAAAGATCCAGATTTCACATGAGTAGATTTTGCTGGCCATGTTAAGATTTAAGGGCTTTGCCAAGTTAAAGAATATAAACATGCCTTATTAAGGTGACACCTTTACCTCCTCTAAATTCAATGAGCAATAAGTATTAAAAAAAATATACCTGTAAATGTTAAAAAGATAAAGAGGTACTTTTAACTAAATGCTCACTAACTTTCGCCTTCTCCCTGTTCCCTACGTCAGCTTACTTAACTTTGTAGTGCTGCTGCTGCCTCCCCCACTGTTTACAGCCTGTCCGGCAATATTCTTTTAAGCCCTGGCTGTGTCTGTGCACCACCAATTTAAATTGGGATTATAAAACGAGAATGGAGATCCTCCATATGCAGCTCTATGCAAATAAATGCAAACTTATTTTAAACAGACAAGTTGTAAACACCGAATATGGCCATGGAAGCTCTATGGAGGTAAGTAAGCAGCTGGGGTGTGGTGAGATGGAGGGAATCGTTCTAGTTAAGCCTAAGAGAAGGGATAATGAAAATTTAGTTAAAAGTATACTTGTCCTTAAAACGAGAAGTATGGCCAAAGCTCCTTTGGCCATATTTCTTTTATGGATCACAGGAGTGCACTTAGTTCTGCACTCCTGTGACCCACATTCAGCCAACAGCAGCGAAAGCCTGGTGTCAGCTGATGCCACAGAACCAACCCAGTTTCTGCAGGGATCCCGACAACAGAGTCAAGATCTGCCAGATATCTGACAGACACTTGGCTCAGCCTCTCAGCATAGCAATGAGAGCCTGAGCCAGTTGCTACTGCCCCCTCCACAGTCCAGCGTTCCATTGAGCGCTGGAGGGGCAGAGCAGTGAGCGGTGACAGTCAGCTTGGTTCTTGGTGTACAGCCAGTGGGAGGACAGCTGCAGCATCAGAGCAATGCTGCAGCCTGTTAGGTAAGTTTTAATGTTTTTTTTTTTTTTATTCCTATACTTCTCTTTTAAATTTCCTGTTTTTTTTTTAATAAAAACAATTCCTAATGTATGTGATCCCCTCCTAAAGTAGTGTTCTCTAACTTTGTGTGGACATACAGGTCTATGTACAGAGAATTCTTACTATACAACTTTCGTAGCTTATTAGGACATGTGGCTTTTCTTAGGTAACACATTTAATGCAGGTTTGGTCACATGTCTGTAAAGAGTAAGAATTTCACAAACCCATCCTCCACTCGGATTTACTCTCAGGCCTCTTGCCACGGCAGCTGATCACAATGAAGCAGTGATACATCTAAGATTAGTCATTTTACAGAGCTCCACAGGTTGTTTGTAACAGAGGAGGGATCAATTTCACTGCAGTTATCAAATTCCTTTCAAAGAAAACCTCCTCAGAGCTGACAAACTTACATTCTTAATGAAATCCACAAGAAAACAGCCTCCTTCTTAATTCCCTGCAGAAACCCCTGAGCACTTAATGCCATCTACTAAACGTGACTGATGGCTCTGCAGCTCAGCCAAAAGAGCATTGTTGTGTGCGCAAATGTTAAAAAAGGTAGAAAAACATTTTAACTATATATATTTATAGAAGATGCTTACAAAAGAACTACATTTTAATCAGTCCTTGTAGTTACTTTGTGTTTTGTTTGAGGGATCATCAAGCACATTACCTGACAATGAAGTCAAACTCGGAGCCAGCTAACATAAGGACCCCCAGGAGAGTTGAGACCGCTCCATCCAGCACTGGTGCGAACATGTGTTCCAAAGCCAAAACTGCCCTCCGGTTCTTATCACCAATGGCTGTGAGAAAAGCCTGCAGATGTGAAGATAAAAAGGTATTAACCTGGATGTTACGGAAAGCAAATCCTGAACAGAATAGTTAGTGACATTTATATTTAAAGATACCAATGCACATTAAAAGCCAAGTTCACCTTCACAAAAGAAAAAAAAAAAAAAAGAAGAAGGGGTGTGGGGTAGGAGGGTCCAGTTTGCATCAGGTTATTCCCTAAATGGGTGTAACATGTAACAAGGTCCAAAAGGTGGAGTTAACCTTTAAGACAGAATAACCTTGCTTGCCACCTAGAGGATTCAGGAAATCTGACACAAGAGAATGGGGGCTGTCCCTTTCCAAATGCCTGGTTGTCATGCTGGCTGAGTCATGATGCAGAACAAGTCAACAAATAAATAACCTTTCGTACTTTATCTTGATCAGTGCCAGACTGGTGACTTAGAAAATGTTAACATCCAGAGAATGGGCAAATGGAAGATTTAGTTTAACACTCCACAGCTAAGGCCCCGCTGTTTGAATCCTGTTAACTCAGACAAGCCATCAAGATTCATTTAGACTTCCTATTGCTTCCACTGAATATGGGTGAAACAGGAATTGGTTAAACTGGCTGGGGAAGCAATGTTTTCCATTTAGATGAGCTGACTATCAGCAGACTGGGGTGCATATACAAACTGGCATCTCCCTTCTTTTAGCAAGAATGTAAGTTTCTAGATATCCTCCAGATTGTTATGTTAAGACTTACACCCCCCTCCCACATCACCCAGGAAAAGGAGGACACAGTTTCAAAGAGGGGGCTGGATCTTGATGGGAACAGAGGTGGGTAACCCCACTGCCATTTTGCAACACTTCAAGCTATATATCAGACGGTAGAGACTAGCAGAGGTTCAGAGCTATGGAATGAACACTCAAGTGGTATGTAGAAGAGGATTGCAGTTATATTCTGTTCCCTAAACTTCACACGTCAGGAGCAGTCGAACCCCTATAATGACATCATAGCCAGCAATACACTGTGTGGATAATGCATTTAGGCCAAGTTCACATGGGCATTAAAGTGGTTATAAAGGCAGAAGGCTGTTTACCTTAACACATTCTTTGCATCACGGTAAAATTACCTTTCAAAAGCTGCTCCCCTCAGGTCCCCCTTAAACACTTACCTGAGCCTGATCTCGACCCAGCGTTGTGTCCATCTGCAGCAGCTCTTTTCCCCTGTCTCTCTTTTCACAGAAGACTCAGCGGGGCAGAGCCATGCTCTGTGTGTCTATGGATGCACACAGCCTGGCACGGGATTGAGTCTGCACAAGTGCCCCCCACAGTAAGTGGTTTGCTATGGGGCACTCAGATTAGAGTAGGAGGCAATATTGCTGGACCTCAGAAGAGTAGAAGACTAACAACTATAGAATTAGTTCATGTTTCAGACACATTTTAAAAGTGTTTGGAGATAATTTCTGAACCTCTCTGAAAGCCTGTTTTTTGGTGACAAGAGGAAACAAGGAAAATGGACTTGCCATTGCACTCTGTAAACATGCGCCAAACACTTTAGAAGTGCTTATCAAGCATTTGTGGAGTGCTTCCATTGATTTATATGAAGGTGTTTGGCATACTTTGTCAGTTGTAATGCATACCAAATGCTGCAATCAAGAGTAAAATTAACATGCAGTGATGCAAAACACATTGTGTGTACAAGACCATTCACCATTAATGTTAAAAACAGAAAAAAGAATTTATACATGTGAATTAAATGCCTGTTCTTTACACCCAAGTGAACGAGGCCTTATGCAGTAAAACTGAACTCTTATTAAAAAGGATCTACAGCACATGATATGTTAAAATCACAATGTCATCCTAGGAATCTAGTTTATCTCTGACTAAGCAGACAAAACACAGCGCAGATAAAATATTTACAAGTTCATTCTGCAAACAAAGATAATGCCATATAAAATCGTAGCAACTAGTATAAACAATGTATACAGAGCACAGAACTATAATAAAAAATATTCCCAAAGGAAGTAACAGAAAACCAAACAAAACGAGGAAACCGATATAAAAAAATAACTACAATATTAGGATAGCAGAAGCAGCACTTACCAAGGCCACATGGACTGTAAATTCGACACCAATGCCTACTGAGGCTACGAGGATCACCACAGGCACAGCACTCAGCTTAATGCCAATAAGACCCATCATCCCAAACAGCTCCACCGTCATAAGGGCCAGTACCATAACCTGGAAAATAAAGAACACGTCAGCTTTTATAGCAGCATGCACGCTACAGTGCAATATAACACAGTACAGTGAACAAGGCTCCAGCTTTTAATAAGCCCAATGTCTGAGAGATGCAGGGGTTATATGGCTGACATGAAGAGAATGCCTTGTTGATTTTTCACAGCACATCATGGGTTAGCAGCTCTTTCTTCAAGACTCTGATGACAGTACTGCATTCATCCACAAGAGGGACTGTAAATATAACATTTGACCTTGTTCGCCCTCACATCCCCTAATAGACAAAACTATGGAGGAACGCTTAGAGAGAGAGAAAAAAAAAATGCCAGTAAGAAACTAGTCGTTTTTCAGGGCATTCTATGTAAAATCCTTGCCTTAAGCGTAAAATACTAAAATGGGGAGAGAGAAAACTTATAGGTTTTAGGTTACAGTCTCATGAGTTTTAAAATAGTTGGAGGGCATGGTATAGACAAATCAAGCAGTGAAGTAAGCTCCACTGGTGAAACCGGGGGGCGAGCCAAGACAGAGAGGGGAAAAGTTGTCTTTCAACTTCACACACATCTCTCATCTAACTTGTGTTACCACCAGCCCCTAGAAAAAGGGATTGTCTTTGGTATAGAGAGAAGCAAGGTTGTTGCCCTTTTCAGTTCCACTATTTTGTGAATCATTACTGAGTAGGTGGTCTGTAAGCTCCTTTTCCCATGTTCAACAAAAAGAGGCCATCTGTAAGGATTGACGAAATAATTGCATTTCATTTTATTTCACATTGCACAACTGCACTGCTAGATTTTTCTTCAGATGATAAAAAAGTCAGAGTTATTGGTTTAATGTCTGAATGCAATGAATACCAAAAAAAGTGAAAAAGACTGACAAAACCAGCAAAGGCCACTTTTAGGCTACATTCACACTAGCCTTGTTTGCAAGTGGCAGACAGGCATTTGGGAAGTGTTTTTACCGCTTCCCAAATGCCTGGGAAAATTCTGCAGCACATGGTGCTGTTCACACATGAACGTTAGCATCACGTTGCATCGTGGCAAAACAGACGCCCCTGGTCGAGTCAGGAGGAGTTGAAGCCTCCTATTCAAGTCTATGGTGCCGCTCCGCAAATGCCTGGTCGGCGTTTGCGGAGCGGTAACACCATTCAAACTTCATTGTAGGCGTTTGTAACACTTTGCAAACATCTAGCAACCGCCGCTAAACCACGCATGCGGCCTTTGCGGAGCGTTAAACGAGCCCTAAAGGAGCTTCCTTCTGCAGCTTCCCGCTGTAGAAAAAAAAATATAAAGGCATCGCTAAAGGATGGACTGCTGTCCGGACCCAGAACAAGTGACTGTTCTATCCTGTTCATCAACCAGTCTCCAGTGGCGGTTCCCCCTTCTCGACAGCAACTGGTTGTTGGAACCGCCAGCTTCCTTACAGCCAAGGATGTTATGTGTGCCCCACCCCCAGCATCACATACAACGTGGAACTTCCTCCTTACAGACCTGTAGCCTGTTCCTCCTCCTGCCCTCTGTCTGCATGGTGTGTTAAAAGGTAAGGGGAACTCTGACCGGGGACACCCCATGTAAGGGCGGGGAACTCAGACCGGGGACACCCCATGTAAGGGCGGGGAACTCAGACCGGGGACACCCCATGTAAGGGCGGGGAACTCTGACCGGGGGACACCCCATGTAAGGGCGGGGAACTCTGACCGGGGGACACCCCATGTAAGGGCGGGGAACTCTGACCGGGGGACACCCCATGTAAGGGCGGGGAACTCTGACCGGGGGACACCCCATGTAAGGGCGGGGAACTCTGACCGGGGACACCCCATGTAAGGGCGGGGAACTCTGACCGGGGGACACCCCATGTAAGGGCGGGGAACTCTGACCGGGGACACTCCATGTAAGGGTGGGGAACACTGACCGGGGACACTCCATGTAAGGGCGGGGAACTTTGACCGGGGACACCCCATGTAAGGGCGGGCAACTCTGACCGGGGATACCCGATGTAAGTAGGTCACACTGAAAATAAATATTATTGAACCGCTAAGGAAATTGTACATTGATTATTTTCTGACAGTCATAAAGCGACTACATGTATACTAGGATCCACGTCTTAGCACAAACATGAGATTTGGACATCTACTGGCAGAAAAGTTTACTGAGCAGACCTCCCAAAATGATAACTCAACACCCCTGCTGTAAATGATCAGAGTAGCATTCCAAGTAGGCAAAGGTTTTCTTAATTTTTCTCTAAGTCAAAATATCAAGTTTTAAAAGTATAGCCTTCAATGTTACATACAAAATGATGATGAGTGGTAACACTTAAGTAAACATTTCATGTCATTCCTTGCTCCTGTAGCAGGCCCCATACATAAAATTCAATTAGACACACTTCCTACAAGTTAACAAACTAGTGGGCTATTTTCCCATCTGCAAATAAGTGCAAAATTTAAAGTGAAACTCCAGCTTTGCCAAATTGGGAAAAAATAATAATAGGTATTATATATGGAAAGGATTTTAGTAAACCGTATCCAACTTGCTTCTGTTCTGGTGATATTACAAACTTCTTTGGCAGAGCATACAATTACACGGAGCCATTTGACCCAGTGCATCCTTTTGGTCTCAGTGTTGGAGAACTTGGCAAGTGTAAAATGCAAGTACCATAAATTTAATTTTAGATGCCGATGTTAGTGAAGCGTTGACATATCACATACTGGGTTCACTAGTAACAAATCAGATCTGAGTGCCCCATATGATAAAGAACAAAAGAAAATAGTATCAGGCCCAAAACTTTTTTTTTATTCCTGTGCAGTGTGAATTCAAAAAAACAGTGACTGGGGGAAAATTTGCTCAAGTTGGCAGTTGAACAGGCAGTTCACATATCTTTTGTCGTAACAGATAAATCTGACTGTGTATGACCAGCTGTAATCTTCAAGCAGCCACACTATATCTGTGCTATACCCACACTAAGCAAAAGATATACTAAAACAAATGTCAATGTAAAAACTACATTTTAATAAATGATGGCAGTTGCCATATGTATACACGGCAAAACCATGGTGTAAAGGATTAGGTTTTACGCTGTAGCTGCAAACCCTCCCTTCTTTTCTCCTTCAAAGTCGAATAAACATATCATGAATGATGTAACATACTTTATTCCACCAGAGATCCAGACATAAACAAACCTTGCTGGCTGTAGCAAGAGCTATGCCGAAAGGAATTTGACTGCAACAAAGAACCTTATTAACTTACAATGATTCCAGCAGTCCAGGGGTTCAGCAGGAAAAGGGCACACACCAGGAATGTACAGGCCAAGACCACGCTGATGGACAAGAGGAGCCAATGGCGTAGACCAATATATTGTTCCCAAAAGAGGAATGGGTAGCCGTTAGGATAATTTGACACTCCCAGGCTGGTATAATTGTTGCAAATGGCTCTCACTTTCTCTATAGCTTCCACAAAGTCTGAAGTCTCTCGAAGGCCATTGAGGTAGAAAGGAAACTGGGCATACTCTATTGGCTCAGCTGCACGGACTGCAAAACAAATAAACGTGGAGATCAATAATGCTAAACATTAAGTAAATTGTTCAAATAAACCCCTGCATGGCTAGGGAAACCACAAACACAGAAGGACTAGGTAAAGCTGTTGACAATGACCGAGCCAGAGAAATATCTAAGATGATGAAAAGGTCTTTGTTTTAGGAAATTTAGAACATATGATCATTTAATAGTCTGGGAACCCTTGATTTTCCATGCTTCTTTTATCATGTAACAGTAACCTCAGATCTACCACAATAAGGGACCAAAAAAATGAGATATACAAATTCCAGTCAGTCATAATGCTAGCTTTCGGTTACTGTTGCTGTGTGTTCCAGACCCTGCAGGGTCATTCAGTTGACTTGCTAAACATGATTTGCCCTATTATAATCTCAACTATAAATTTTCATTAAGACAAGACTTGGCTGGCTGCCACACGGCTCTAGGGTTCGGATACTGTAAAGCACTCTCTCTTTTTTTGGAACTTTTATACCGTTGCACTTCTGCAAACTGCAACTTTTGAATGCTTCCAAAGTCACTTAATCTTACACAAAAGAAAAAAAAAAAATAGGTAGACAAATTAGACAGCTAATTACACAGTTCTATCCATATCATAATGAATGCTGACCTGTCCTAAACTGTGGGGTAAGAACTGAAAATATTACAAAGGTTTAGATTCCTAAATAAATAGAATGTCTTTTTCTAGACAATTAAGTGTGATAACATACGCACTATGGTGTGAATGTTCAAAATATATTAGTGTGTCAGTATTACTAAACAGTTTCCCTACCCTTACTTTATAAAGTATGTCCATACTATTATAGTTAGACTATTTGTTTAACAATTACTACGTACATTACTCAATTCTGAAACACAATTTTCCCCTCTTGGAAAAAAAAAAAGTGTCTAAAATGGCTGTCAAATTAAAACAGAGCAGTCTTGAAAAGTGTGCTCGATCTGCACAATGTCATGTAAAAGCAGAGCAGGATGGAGGAAACCGTTCATAAACAATTTAAGGCCAGAGGCAAAGTCCTACTTACTTGTCCTGGTTTCAGGCATGTAGTCGGCTTTGTCATGGATCCACTCTGGTGGATGAGGGCGGATGTTGGCCTGGGAAGCAGCATAGGCTACAGGGTCATTACTCACCCAGGCTGTTAAATAGATGTAGAAAGCATTTGGATGAATGATCCCATCTGCATCCACCAGGCGCTGTTTAGTCAACTGCAGAAGAGACAGAAGTGGAAAGTCGCCACATAAGTGAACTAGAATTAACTCAGACGTCACATAGAAAGTTGTGGTTTGCTAGGAAGAACTCTTTTGTTGTATGAAAGCACAAACAGCAGATTTTCTTTTCTTCGCTTGATCAGCAGAAAATGCATGAAAAGGAATTAAAGAAAATGTGGAACCATTGCCTATGGTAACCAGTCAGGTGTTTGCTGTATCTTTTAACTTGCACTTTAAAGTTAAAGGTTAACTCTACCTTTTGGACCCCTGTTTCAATTACACTTGTTTTTAGGAAGTAACATGTAACAGTACAAATCAGTGATCAATGAATTACAAGTCCCATCTGCCACTGTGGCAGACAGACTTTTAGTTCACAACAGAATTACCACACTTGTAGTCCACTGTCCAATGAGAACTTCCTTCAGCTCTCTAACTGAAACTCCGTACCTTTGTACGAACATAGAGCTGGAGAAGATCCTCCAGGAGCCTGGTATTGCACCCACGATCCACTGATTTCAGTTGCAATGTTTTGCAGACTTATTTGCAAAAAAAAAAAAAAATACTAAAATGCACATTTTTTGCTGCAAATTTATGTTTTTTTTGTAACCGATGAACTAAGCCTTTGAAAATAAGAGCTGGAATCTGATTGTTACACAAACCACAGCACTCCCAACTCCTCCATATCTTTTAAATGTTATCTAAACTAGGGATGCACCGAAATTTTGGCCGCCAAAACACATCGGCTGAAAATAGAATGCCGATAGGAAAAATTCAGCCGATTCAGGGGACGGTGTGTACTGCAGAGGTGAGGGGGGGCAGGGGTTGGCAGAGAAAGGCAGAAGACAGCAGAAGAGCAGTGTATACAGTGACTGGCTGCCTATATGTCATTGCTGGTTTTTAAATGTAATTATCAGGGTTTTTTTTTTCTTCACTATAGCTCGGAGAATGAGCTGTCACTTTCCTCAGAGCTAAAGGAAACTAAGGGGCGGGGGTCACACCCTTTGTTTTTTTTAGCTCTGGGGAAAGGGACAGCTCATTCTCTGAGCTATAGTGAAGAAGAAAAAAGCTGGCAACTGCATTTAAAAACAATGCCTTTTTTTTTTAAATGTAATTACCTGCTTTATTTTTCCTTTATGTAGTTCAGAGAAGGTGCTGTCATTCTCGGATGGCTAAAAAAAACAAAGGGACGGGGTCACCCAGTGATATTACCCAGTGACCCCACCCCTTAGTTTCCTTTAGCTCCAGGGAAAGTGACAGCTCATTCTCTGAGCTATAGTGAAGAAAGAAAAAGCCGGTAATTACATTTAAAAACCAGCACTGACTTATACTGACAGCCAGTGAAGGAGCCTCTCTGTATACACTGCTCCGCTCCTACCCCCTCCTTGCACACACTGCCCCATCCACCCACCCCCACCCCCTACAAAGAGGATCTGTCATTTATATGCTATCACATAAGGGACTATTTGTCCCCTACGTGATAGCAATAAAATAGTAAGTTAAAAAATAAATAAAAATATAAAAGTAGTAAAAAGAACAATCCGGGGCGGACTGACCATTTGGAAACTCGGGCACTGCCCGAGGGCCCCGGGGTCAGTAAGGGGCCCCATGAGATGCCCCTGGTACCCTTTTTCATAGGCTTTTTTGAGTTTGGGCAAGGACACAGGGGCCCCATGATCCCCTATTGCCCGGGGGCCCCATGAGTTGTCAGTTCGCCCGTGAAAACAATACAAAAAAAAATTGGATCCTCCCAATTCCCACATACGCAGACATTTCAGTTTCGGTTTGGTTTTCATCCACGTGCATTCTGAATTTCCGGTATCTGTTTCAGCACTAGAATTTTCATTTCAGTGCACCACTAATCTAAACCTATGAACACAAATGTAATATATTGCATCATACCAGTACTTAATTGTGGTGACTGCATTCGTTTTCTTACGTCAAGCCAAGTGCATTTTTAGCAATTACAGAAAATGCCTGCTGATGTTGGCACTTCTTTGCAGGAAGTGTGTTATCTGCAGGGTCACCAGGTAAAAAAACTAAAAGCCTGAAAAAAGAAAACTAATGCAGCTACAGCATCCATGGACTAGTAAGCTGAAAAACATGAAATTTTTCAATTTTAGATACCCTTTGAAAACATATGGACATCGGTTGTAAATTGGTTGCTGTGGGCAACACAGGCAATTTCCTTTTTTTCTGCTTTTCAGATTGTCCACTAACTATATACATTTATTGTCTATCACCAGCAAGTACTGTAATAGATACGACTAACTCCCATTGTGGAACTTATGAGCATTACTTAAGTTTAATGTTCCTGAACACTATACAAGCACCAACATTTCTGAGAGGGGGCCCCTTGTTCAGACAGAGCTGTTTCCTTTAGGTTACATAATTGTATAGGCTCCCATCTGTATTTATATAAACACATTTGCAGATACACCAATTCCAATTTCCACTTTAAGCGATCACATTTAGAAATAAGAGCACTAGCGCCATATGATGTTGATTTGTTTTCTTAAACATAAAATGATAAACATCTTTGCTTTTTAATTATACTTGAAGTGAACGGAATGGCGATGGATAAACAGTTGCTGCATTCCAAAGAAATATGACTCCCCATCTAACAAAAACATTTCTCTTTTCTTTCCTTTTTTCCCCCTTATAATTACACTAGCAACCCCGCTCCATGCTTGAATCTGAGCCCCTCCTGATGGACCAGTGTGTTCAACAAATGTCTACAGCTGGGGGGGTTGAGGGTGGTTTTAGGAGGAATGACCAAGCTGGAGGAACATTTTGCAGAAACAAAAGCAAACCAGGAGGGGGGAGAAAAAGAAAAAAAAAAAAAAAAATAGACCTGGCAAACATCCCCCTGCACGTCTGGGTGCAGTTAACCTACGCTGTTAACACTAAAGGAAATGCCACCCAGTAAATGAAGGAGAGCAATAAAAAATAAAACATCTGTATAAATGTTGCGTGTACTTTCCCTCCATGACCTGTTTGTTGACAAAAGTGACCACTGCTTTTTAATAGGATCTGCCATCTGGTTTCCTTTAACCCTTTCCCTGGAAAGGTTTCTGGCCAGCAAACAGCAGCACCAGTGGGCCCGAGCAGGGCAACTTATCAAGTCAAGTGCAATCACAAAACGACAGGCACGTTCACCCAACCATTATGTCTAAAGGCAAAAGCATAAAAAAAAAAAAAAAAAAAAAAAAAAAAAAAAAAGATTCCTGGCAAAAGTCCACACTGAGGTCTTTTGAATGAAATGAGAAACAGTGACAGCAGCACAACTCTCTTATTCTTGCCCCCAATGATTTGAAGTATCTGGAGTTAATTAATCGTCTGGAGATGGAATAACAGCATGTCTTCAAGATGTGTCTGGCAACATACACCTCTACTGAACGACCACTAAGAGGGGGGATTCCATTCAAGCCTCCAATATATAATCCCACACTGTAGCGGTATGTTGTTTTACTAGGAGAAATAATTATGGGTTTGTTGCTGGGTGCTTCTATGCTCTGTGCTGCAACTGCTTTAAGGACCTAAATCATTCCCAACAGCCCAGCCCTGGTGGAGTTTAGAAATGTAGAGAGTGTATTAAGCACACCCACTTGGAACAATTTAGGTAAAAGCCTTTTTATCTACCAGCATCTTTATAAGCAATGGAGGAAAACTGACTGCACTCACAAAAGGTACGAAGCTCATTCTCTATGCATCTATGCACACAGGGCACTGCTGGGACTTGGCCCACGATTACAGTGCTACAAAGAGTCACTGAAAAACAGTGCCACTAAGAAGCCTGCTGTAGGTTAGGTTTAAAGTGGTTGTAAGGGCTCAAGGTTTTCTTTACCCTCATGCATTTTATACATGAAAGTAAAAAACCTGTAAGACCCCCCTCCCCCTCAAGTTTACCCGAGCACCATCACGATCCAGAGATGTGCATGAGAGTCTGTGTGGACTCTCCCCTTCATTGGTTGAGACAGCAGCAGGAGCCAAAGAGGAGAAAAAAGAGAGAGGGGACGAGGCACTGCTCTGTGTGTAAATGGACATGCAGAGCAGCAGCTCGGAAGTGGGCCCACTTGGGTGCCCCCATAGCAATCAGCTTGCCATGGGGGCACTCGGCAGGAGAGAGGGACTAGGAGCAATGGTGGGAGACCTGAGAAGGAGGATCGGAGCTGCTCTGGGCAAAACCACTGCATGCAGCAGGTAAGTATGTCATGTTTTTTTTTTTATTTTAACTATTGCCTTTAATATCACTTTAAGTCACATCAAATTGTATGGGTTAAGTACACATTCTTGTTTAGGACAGCCACAATACTTTCTAACTTCATCCATCAGTTATATACAGTATAATGTCATTGTCCCAAAGAAATATATTTCTGTTATACTTTTCTGTAGGAACCATTTTATCAATGGTATTTGAGAATTGATATATTTGGTATTTGTGGACTTTTATATGAAAATCTATTGCAGTGAAGACCTACAGTATGTTTACTAAGAAAAAGCATTTTTAAATGTAGAACTGCCAACATTCTTTTAGCAATTCCTATCTCCTTTCTTTAAAATTATCCTGGGCCACAGACAAATATCGGACTCCTTGGTTGGTTTGTGAAAACTGAAGAGTGCAAAATCTGGTGCATCTGTGTTTGGTAGCCAATCAGCATCTAACTTCAGTATGTTCAATTAAAGAATATGTAAACCCAACATTTCATATTCCTGATATGTGCCTGCTGTACCCTGCACTTGTATGAAAAAGTATTCTGTTACCGTTGTATTGTTTCCTTTATGTGAAATCCCTGGTGTTCCTGCCTGTCCCCCTGCTTTCCTAATAAAAACGGACACTAGGGAGGGGAACACAGTGTGATCAGTTCTCTAGCTATGCTGGGAACTCTGTTTGCTCTCCTCCAATGATCAGACTTTTGCTAACATCCCCTACAGCCTATCACTGGGAAGCTCAGTGTAATGATGTTTTACCTCCCTCACCTCTCTGTGCTGATGAGAACAGAGGGAATGTGATCACTTATAAAAAAAAAAAGGGGGGGGGGGGGGGGAGGTGTTTAAAAAAAAAAAAAAAAAAAAACCCTGGAAGCAGGTTACTAGGACTATTCAAACTAACGAGTGTTTTCATCAGTGGTAAATTTCAGTCAGCAAAAGTTAAAAAAAAAAAAAAAAAAAAAAAAGGAGGACACAATAGCTTTACAACTCCTTCATTGGATAAAAGCTAAAACCCTGTAAACAGGATAAAAAAAAAAAGTTGAATTACAGACATGTTGCCAAAAGATTAGCAATTGTGTTCAGCCAGATGTATTATCCAGTCCCCCTGCCAGACAGTATAGTCATGCTCTGGATGTCTCTGCATTTGTAAGGGATAGCACCTGTTCCATGACTTACCCCAGCACGTGTTGGGACACCAAAGAGGCAACAACACACTGATAAGGTCAACACTCTATCATCTCCTCTTGTCAGCATATTCACTGTGGCAGTGCATTGAGCACCCTGACTGGTTTAAAGTGCTGCCCCTCCCTCTCCTAGTCCAAATGATTTTAGAATGGTACTTATGCTAGTTTTTTTTTTTGTGTGAAAATAACTTAAATGTTTTTCTATCTGCCTGGAGTTTGGTCTTATGTAATGTTTCTGTAATGATTTTTAATGCTGCATACCCATATGAGGCATTCATATGAAGTCACGGCATTTACAATGAATCTGGTATAAATCTGTTTTTTGGTCATGCTTATGCTATCCATACACAATTCAAATTTTGAGCTGTGGGTGGCCCAGTTTGCGCTATCCAGACTGACAAATCTTGATTGATAAAAATTGAAAGAGCTGGGTGGAAAATCATTGGCTAAAAAGTGACTGCATCCAATCAGAAGCAGCCACTGGTAAGTAAATCTGACACTCTGTATTGGTGGGTGTGAGAACACAGTGTCTAGCAGGAAAAACTTCTACATCTAGGCGGTTTAGTGTGGACAGAGGAATCAATTGACTTCTATCATTAAAGCCTCATGCACACTTGAGCTAAAAAATGCCTCTAAACCCAACTCCCTGTTAACCTATGCATCCATGCACACATGAGTTTAGAGACATTAAAAACAAAAAAAAAAAACACAAAACATAAATTGCACGTTGAAGAGAGCCGCGTTTTGGCAGAAGAGATGCCAAAACACGCCTAAAAGCGTGTAAACACACCTATGAGTAAGGCGCGTTTTTCACTTGAACATTTTATTTTTATTTCAACTGCCAGAAAAAAAGTTAAATGTTCTGGCCAATGACAAATGACCAAGCACTTGCAAAATACATGGTTTAGGTGTCTTTTCTAAGTCGCTTTTCTCCTGCTAGGAAAAAAAGTTTTTAAAAAATCCTCAGTGCTCATAAAGCTTAAGACTAGGGGGCTAAACTGTAAAATCAAAGTGTATATATGGCTATGTGAGTGTATGAATATAGGTAATCTAAGGTTCCAGTTGGTGAGGATTTTTTACCCCACTAAAGGAAAGACATATTTTGCTTACACCGCTACCACAATCTACATGCATGTAGAACTAATCATCTAGGAGCCAACCTATATTATTATTGTGACCAGCTTATAAATCAGAAATCACCAGAATGGTGCATGTAAATTAGAGTTTTTTTCCTCGTTCTTACCCGACTTAGATCAATTGGTTTATCAGGGTTTCCGGTTTGTATCAAAAGTTTGTAGGCAAGTACTGCATCATCAGAACCATTCTTATAATTGTTGTTATATGTTATTTTCCCAGCCTCCCATTCACTGTCAAACGTATCTTGTAACCCTGTATAAAAGAAAAAAAAAGCAATATTTGTAAACTTGCAGCACAATGCGAGTCATCTTGTCAACATGAATATTAGCATGGCATTTTCTGTCCTGTATTAGGTTACGTTGCATTACACTGTAGTCAATATAAGGCAGACTGAAAGGCACAGGGTGCTTCCTTTTCATTTTGTTTTAAAAAGTCTTTTCTGGCTAAATTAATTGACCAGTTAAAAAGCAAATACAAAGAAGAAGCACTGAAGACTGAATGAAGCTGCAAATGTTAAAGACTAATTAGAGTTAAAGCAGCAGTGCGATAGCTGGCGGTTCTTTCAGTCTTTATTTCTGCATTTTATGACCAAAACCACCTGTGTGCACACAGCCTTACTACAAAATGAGTGTACAATGAACCTCAGTTCTCAAGAGCCTGTACATTTTCTATGTTTTCTTAAAGATGATTGAATGCTATGCAACATTAAATGCACATTTCTCTCTATACAGGGGGCTTAGGTGGAAAACACGCAAAATATCCAAAGAATAAACAAAAAAGCAATTATAATTTTGATAATTCCATCCCAAACTTTACTAAACGGCAAACAAAAATTCGGACTTAGAAGTTGAAGCGCATATACAAATAGAAGGTTCTATTTATCTACATTATCCTGACACCTTTGTTTGTGGAGGGGGCATCCTTAAATCTTCTTCTGGTAGGGATGCCTTAAAGACTGATGAGAGGATGACAGCTGCACACCAGGAATGCAATAAATGCTATGTTTTACTTCTACATTCCGTGCAGTGAAATGCCTTTATTAGGAAAGCCATTGGTGTCTGGCTATGCGAAAACACTTAAAAGGCATTGAGCTCATGGGCTGCCTTGTGTGTGAAAGTTATCACCACTGCTCTAATGTGTTCTATTTAAAAGCCACACTGAACTCGGATTTAAAAAAAAAAAAAATAAATAAAATCTAGTTAAGTAAAGTACATTCTCTTGCGCTCAGCCTCAATATTTTTTTTGGGTGCTCTGATCTGACTTCCTGTAAGAGGGTGGCTGCTTTCTTCCTTCATGATCCCACTGTATGTAGGAATGTAGCCACCTTCACCCCTGACATGGACTATGGCAGGGGTCTCTAAACAATGTGAGGGCCAGATTATTTTACAAATATTAGTGGACTGAAAAAAAAAACCCATCAAAGACCAACCCCACCCCCTGTACATCAAGGTCCCCATTATATCAAGAGTTTCCATCAAAGTCCCCCTTTCTTCAGGTTCCCCATCTTGTGCCTTGGAGCTCATCTCACTCCAAAATATAATATGGCATGCAGGTACAGCTGCACACTGTATTCAACTCCAGTGTAAGGTAAATGAAAGACAGGCCTCAGCTCATTTCCCAGATCAGTCATGCCCCTCCAATTGGCTGGGATCTGAGCTCAAGCCTGTCTTCCATTTACCTTACACTGGAGTTGAATACAGTACGTGACAGTACCTGCATGCCATATAACATGCACTGCTTGTTTAAATCAAATGGATCAGAGAGGGAAAAGGAAAGATATGGAGCTCACAGGAGGACAATACAAGTAGGCAGAAAAACAAAATAAGAAAATTTCGTGAAAATGTGTTACAGGGCCATTACGTAGTGGATGCTTATTGATTATTTTTGCAGAATAAGGATATTGATTAGCATCACTTGAACATTAAAAAAAAAAATTTGCTTGCATGTGAATGGTGAGGCCTATGTGCAGTGCTCACATTCTCCAGTGATGTTTGATTCCATAATTAGTGCATATAGAGAATGAGGGCTAGCCTGAGGCAGATCCTGGCTACGGAGCTTGTGGATCCATCCAGCACTATTCTGTAATCGGCAGTGCCGCAGGCTGTAAACACTGTATTGTGGGCACGTGTGCAAGACCGCACTGGTCAATAGGTACTTTTCAAGGCAACCCTTGTGCCCGTTTAGGAATTCTTTTTTTCCAAGATGCAGTTATTCTTTAAAAACTCACAATGAGGTGATTTTTAAGGTTTAGAAAGAGAACAGAGGCCACAGCAAATGTACTTGGGCAAGGACCAGGAGAGAGATATGCATGCAATATTCATTAACCATACTGAGCTACTGTTTGCCAGGTTAAAATAGAAGGTCTGTGACACAGGGAGGCAAGAACTAATAAAATACTTCAATTTTTTTGTGCTTCAAATAGCATCTCAGCTGCTTCTTGAGCACAGTGTGAGTGAACACGATTTTGTCAATTTGTTCCATCTGTTCAACTTGTGCAGCTAATACAAGATGTGGGATCTGCTGCCAGCATGTGTAAAGATCACAGCCAACATCTATTCACTCTCAACTGCTCCTTTCCTCTCTGCCATCCTGTTAGCAGGGAGTGAAGGAAGGCTGGGAGTGTACTGAAGAAAGGGAAGACTTTTCAATGCACAGTCCATAGCAGGCAGGTAATCTGGAGCATGTGAAGCTCAGAACTACAGGATTTCTTCTTAAACCAAAGTGCGCCATAGTCAGAGACATAGCAGAATGCAATGAGGACACAAAAGTCCTACTTGATAACTTGCTCAAGTGTATTCAAGTCCTAAAACAAGAAGAAGTGTAACATTACCAGTTCACCTGGTGAACTATCCCTTGTTATCACACAGATGGAACTAAAAACGCATCTGCTTTTGTTCATCTGCATTATATGGGGAATGGGAAGATGAAGGCCTCATGCACACTAGGCTTTTCTGAACACCCTTCTCCTGACAGAAGAAAGGCAGACAAAAGCGGTGTTTTAACCCCATTTAAGTGAATTTAGAAGTGTCATGTGTTTGAGTTCATTAATTTGATTGCCCAGAATAGTCATTTATTCTGACCATTTGAATGAATGACCGCGCAAATGCTGAACATGCCTAGTGCTTAGGCCTTTTGTTGCCCAAATGCTCCTCTCCTGAATTGAATTTTGGTGCATTCAGATTTTTGCCCCTAAATTCACCTGCGTATAGAAGCCTGTAAATGCCTGTGTGTGCACAGACACATAGGCTAACAGAGGAGTGCTTAGGGCAGAAAAAATCATCCGCACGAAAAATCAGCCGATATTCATGCCGTTAGTGGGGCCAGCCGGTCGCCCGTTTTTCGCAGATCTTCTCGTTTATTTGTATTGGTCATGCTAGAAAATTAACGAAAAACGGACGTTTTTATTGGTCATTGGTGGCAGCATCAGCAACGACCGATTTTTCGTTTATCGGCCGAATTATAAATGGCCCATCTATGGCCAGCCTAATGCTTTCAGGTGAGCTCGCAGGAAGGGACAAGGACACAGCATTTCTGACAAGATCAATGGATATTTTCTGTACTTGCTTTAATGTTCTTAGCATAAACCACCACATTCTAAGACTGGCAAGCGTTAGTGTATTCAATTTCTGTTCTTTGGTTTAGTTCTCCCTAAGTGTAGCATTAGCCAAGATTGTGACCATACCTCCTTCTGAAAGTATTTGTTGCCTGGCTGTCCTGCTGATTCAGGGTCTTCAGTGCTTTAACAGGTACTGGCTGCCAACAAGCGTTTTCACTTCACAGACTTTGGTGGCTATTTACCCCTTTTAAGTGGAGACAACCCGTTTGATGGACAGTAAAGGTGGTCAAATATTCCCGTCAGTGAGCCCTGTCCTCCCTTCTGCAGCATAAGCAAGACCTCTAATTATCATGCTACTACTAGTAAGTATTAATATTATGGCATGGTTCCATGACACTTACAAATAACATGCCTGGTCTGTCATACACTAACATATCATTACAGGTTTTTATTTTGGTTGTCATTTCAAACTGAGCATACTAGGTATGAAAGCAGAACTATGCTTGTAGGCCAGCTTGCGTCTCTTCTCCTGACTTTGGAGCTACAGGACGCTGTGCCAACACACAGCATACCAGTAGTCAGATTCAGCCACTATCAGTTTTGCATTCACATACATTACAATTAAGATATTCCAAAACAATAAACCTGTACTAGTTTTAAAACAACCAATCAGATTAAAATTACACTTTGAAATCATTTCCCTTAAACTGCTGTTGAAATGAATGTAGTTCTGGCATTCAGTGCGTAACTTCTATATTAACTAATAAAGTGGATTTATCAACTGATCCCTGTGGCAGCAGCAGGAATTAGAACTTGGTTAATAAACATTGTCCTAAAGTTTTCATAGAACATTCACAGCTTGGTACATTCTGTTATGATCAATATATGATAAATAACTTATTGAGAAAAAAAAAAAAAACAAAAAAAAAAAAAAAAAAAAACAACAACAACCAACACACAACATACCTTCTACTAAAGTACGACTGGATGCTCTCTAAGCACTTACAGTAATTATCTAACAGCTGCAGAAGGAATCAGAATACTGTTTCCCAGATGGAAAGCAAGGGAGCCCAGCAGATGAAACGATATAGCATTGAAAACGAATATAAAATTACAATCAGAGCAAAAAAAAAAAAAAAAAAGAATCAGTTGGAAAAGAGATGTTATCATTTTTAAAGAATGCAATTACACAGCTACAGTTGCTTTAACTAAGTTTAGTCTGATTTGCTCTTTTTTTTTGTTTTATTTAACCTTTCACTGATTTTCCTTTACATAGCAAAGTTTCCCAGTGGTGAAAGGCCTAAAACAATAAGACCAGTAAAAACTTGTGCAACTCTACAAACAATGAGGCATGTCTCTGTGCGATTACACACGGCTAACCCTACCCACTGGAGAATGTGACCAGAAATGCAATACCACCCAGGTCTAGCTAGCCACAAAACCACAACTGACAGACACAGTCCTCCCCATAAATACCCAACAAAGGCTTAAAAACTCATCAAATATGAATCAAACCACAGCTATTACACACATTCTCTCAACTTCTCTCTTACACACCGTCTATGCACTCCTTTATCAAGTGCTTGGTCTTTTCTAAGTAACCTGCACTGAATATTTGATTCATGATATATTAGTTTGGGGTGGCAACATTTAGGCTAGGCATAGTTCTACTGCTTTGGAGATGTATATTTCTAGTTTGTATCCATCCGGGGACTTCCTGCATGTAGCTTTCCCCTTAAAATCTACCAGTGCATTCCTTCATGCTTGACCAAATTGGCTTTACAACAGTCTTTCACAACTAGGGTTCCTTTGGAGGGTTGCTGGGGGTTTCTTGAGCAATTTCTACCTCTGAGATAGGAAACCACTAACATCAATGATTGGATCTATCTGGATGGGATTTGGGGGGTGCCTACTGACCACAAATGTAGGAAGCATTCTTCTCACAGACCATAATACTAATGTGCCATGGGCTGTAGGTATAGAAATTATTAGCAGGTGTCCCCTGAGACCAGTTATTTATTTCAAGGGCTCCTCAGGCTGCTCTAGAGAAAGCATGGTCAACATATTAACCTAAAGTCAGGCTAATGCTAGAGAAGAACCTCAAAGACTTCAGACATACTACAGGAGATGACGAGAGACTGCAAACATGGCACAAGTGTAGCTAGAGATTGCATGTGTACTGCAGGAAATGGTTAGACAATGTTACAGAAGACCATTACTGCCATCACATTTGATACTCCGAAGAGAAAATCCATTATTAAAAAAGACAAGACAAAAAAAAAAAAAAAAAAAAAGGAACCAAAAATATAGAAAAAAAAAATGTAATGAACAGAAAAGATAAGAAAGCTCAAGAGAAACAAGGCAAAAGATTTTAAAGTAGCAGAAGTCAACCTAGGAAGCAGATTTTCCTACACAGGTAAGCAGCACAAGTACCATGGCACAGTACATGGACCGCAGTTCTTAGAAGGATCATGTAAGCTACACATGCTCCAGTGTTCTTTCCAGTAAGAGTAAAATGTCAGCACTATATAATTACAGGAAATGTACTGAAACAAAAAAGTAGAGAAAAGACAAGCTTTCATCTTCATCCTTTTGTCCCCAATTGATGTCTGCACCTTATTTACATTCAGGCATAACAAATTCCAACACCATACAAGTCTGTGGTAAATACATTTGGGGGTTATTAGCTGATAGTTATTATAATTAAGCCTGCCTCTGGTAATATTCTTCTCCAATGTCAAATTTTCATGCAACTGTGAACCCTTGAGCATCAATGGTCTTAGCTGTAAAGTGACTGGTAAACTGCAGTCTCCAGTGCCCAGGTACTAATACAGCTCACAAATAACAAAAAGAAAATTCACATAAACAGATATTATGTACCTTTACTAGCAATTTACACCCCGACTTTAAATATGTCATTGTGGTAAGCTGCAATACAGGTGCATTGTCTGCAATTGTTGTAGTGAGTTGGGATGTATTCAAAAAGGATGGCACACCTATGCAGTACTACAACGCATAGATCAGAACAGGCTCTTAGTTGGGAATAACTATATCCCTTTCTCATACTGCTCTCCAGAGCTCATCCTATTCATCATAGGACTTGTATTTGAGGCAAATTCCACAGTTAACATCCAACTTCTGTGTGACGTCTATGGACACATGTATCCTTTGAAAGTACTACTAGTGCAACATTCTGCTAACCACCAAGTGAAGTACTTTGCCATAGAATGTAATGCCAAAAACAAAAGATCTACACAGGCTCCTAGGAAGCAGTCACAGTAAGCCAGGGGAATACAATAAGTAGTTTACAACACGGGCATTAACAAATGCAGCTGTTGGCTATGTATAGAAGAAGCAATCATTTTTAAGATTAGCTGACTTCTATAAAACAGCAGTCGTATTTGAAAACACACAGCTGACTTCATGTATAATAATCACCCTAAGCCTGGGTTCAAACTACAGTGGTGCGGGAAATTGCATGTGCTTCATACAGGAATCGCACCGCATTCCTTTTCAAATCATATGCGATTCTTTGCAGTGAGATTTGAGCCCATTCATTTTGTATGGGCTCAATACGCAGAGCACCTGCACGAAAAAGGTGCAGGCATCTCCTTTTTTTTTTTTTTATTTAAACTTTGCTGCACCAGAATCTTATCGCATGGGTGTTCACACTCATGTGATCCAATTCTTGCAATTGTATTGCATTTTGCAACCTGTTTTGGGGTATCAGAAATTTAACACTGACACCCGTGGCAGATCGCATGAATGGAGTGCGATGTCAATGCAGTGCGGGAAACACTAAGGATTCACTGCATACATGTGAACTGGAGCTAAAGGACTGCAGGCAGCCTTTTCACAGCCTGAAAAGGTTTATAACATACAAGTGCAGGCTGTCCCAATTTACACAGAAAAAATATCCATACTATGAAAAAAATCTCATGCTCTGGGACACACACACACACACACACACACACACATATATCCACACCCACATATATACATATATATATATATATATATATATATATATATATATATATATATATATATATATATATATATATATATATATATATATACACATACATACATATTATATACACATACATACATACATACATACATACATATATACATACATACATATATATATATATATATATATATATACACACACACATACATATATATACACATACACAGACACATACATATATATACACATACACATACATATATACACACACACACTTTATTAGGTTCCATCACATCCCAAAAGTGCTCTATTGGATTGAGATCTGGTGACTGTGGATGCCATTGGAGTATAGTGAACTCCTTGTCATGTTACAGAAACCAGTTTGAGATGATCTGAGCTTTGTGACATGGTGCATTATCCCACTAGAAGTGACCATCAGAAGATGGGTACACTGTAGTCATAAAGGGATGGACATGGTCAGCAACAATAATCAGGTAGGTCGTGGCATTTAAACGATGCTCAATTGGCCCAAAGTGTGCCTAGAAAATATCTCCAACACCATTACACCATCACCACCAGCCTAAACCGTTGATATAAGGCAGGATGGATCCATGCTTTCATGTTGTTTACACCAAAATTCTGACCCTACCATTTGAATGTCGCAGCTGAAATAGAGACCCATCAGACCATATTTTCCAATCTTCTATTGTCTAATTTTGGTAAGTCTGTGCAAATTATAGTCTCCGTTTCCTGTTCTTAGCTGACAGGAGTGACATCGGGTGTGGTCTTCTGCTGCTGTAGCCCATCTGCTTCAAGGATCAAAGGGTTGTGCGTCCAGAGATGGTATTCTGCATTTTACATACCTTGGTTAAAACGAGTGGTTATTTAAGTTACTGTTGCCTATCATCTCGAATCAGTCTGCCCATTCTCTCTGACATCAACAAGGCATTTTCATCAACATAACTGCCGCTCACTGGATATTTTCTCTTTTTCGGACCATTCTTTGTAAACTCTAGAGACGGTTGTGTGTGAAAATCCCAGTAGATCAGCAGTTTTTGAAATACTCAGACCAGCCTGTCTGGCACCAACAACCATGCCGCGTTCAATGTCACTTAAATCCCTTTTCTTACCCATTCTGATGCTTGGTTTGAACTTCAGCAAGTCTTCAGCAAGAACTTCACCCCATTTAGATGCCCAAATGCATTGCTGCCATGTGATTGGCGGATTAGCAATTTGTGTTACCAAGCAATTGAATAGGTGTACCTAATAAAGTTGCCTGTGAGTGTATAGATATATATTTGTTAATGCTATAGCATAGCATTATGCCAGGGAATTAATGGATACCAAGGAATTGATGGATTTACTACAAACTGGTGACACAGTTAATCTACAGGAATCACAAAGAGAACTCATCAAGTTGCAATTAAATCACAGCCTACATTATCTCCCTGTGGATTTTGGGCACAACATGATTGCCTCTAATCAGCATGAGACAGACACTTTAAAAATACTTCGCTCAGAAGACCACAATTTATTTTTGAATCTGGCATATTCTTACCTTGTAGCCAATCTCTAAAATAATGCAGCCACATTTTGGGAAGCTGTTTGTTGCCCTCCAAGAGAACATACTTGACATTGGCAAAGTTCTTGTGCAGATCATAAAGCAAGTGCTGGGAACGAGGATAGTCTGCTTTCTGGGTCACCACATACATGTTGTAGAATGAAAAATACTTAAACTGTGCTGCAATGAAATCAAACTCCTGAGTTTCTCGAGGAACAATATCTGTAAGATCCAGACCATCTCGAACCCGGGTGGTGCCATATAGGCTGATGCTAAGCAAGGCCAGGAAAACAAATATGACCGCAACCTATAGATGGAAACAAAGCACACAGTCAGATGGTGGAACAGCTGAGCAACAGAAACACAAGTTTGTTACAGACTTAACCCTTATTTTATTTCTGTAAATATGTATTTGCTTTGGCATTTTTACTGCATACTCTATGGTAATTTTGGAATACATCTGACACTGTTTTATGCCAGTATAAAAAAAAAAAAAAACACAGGAAATAGTCTTTGTAGACTATTTTGCATCATTACGTCAACATTTGTATCTCAGAATCGTGCGTAGTTTTGCATAAAATCTTTAAAACAAGTGGTCTCCAAACTGCAGTCCTTTGCTTACTTTTATCCGGCCCTTGGGGCACTATTTCATCCTCTGATCCCAACAATGGGGCACAATTCCCCCCCTCCACTGACAACAATAAAGGGGCACAGTTCATCCCAATGACACCAACGATCAAGAACAATTCCTCTAACTGACACCAATGAATGGGCACCATTTCTCCCACTGACACCAACAATGGGGCCCAATGACACCAATGCCAGGGTACAATTCCTCCCAATGACACCAACGATGGGGCACAATTCCTCCCACTGACACCGATCAACGGGCACAATTTCTACCAATAAGCACCAATAATGGGGCCCAATGACACCAATGCCGGGGCACAGTTCCTCCCAATTAACCCCAACGATGGGGCACAATTCCTCCCTCTGACACCAAAGATAGGCACAATCAATCCTACTGCCACCAAAGAGGGAATTGCTTTTTTCTGACGTCGGGACCTTTTCTACTCTCAGCGGCCACAGTCTGGCCCCCCCTAGAGTCTGTAGCACAGTAAACTGGCCCTTTTTTTAAAAGTTTAAAGACTCCTCCTCTATATTCTCATTGGATTCAAGAGTCCAATGACCTGCCAGTGACTTTTTTGTTTTATCTTCATCTCAGTTTCACTATAAATATAAACCAATGCATTGAATTCATCAAATCTAAATTAATTTATGGACATCACATACTAAAATGAATGTCAATACAAAATTTATACTGTTTAATACTTGTTCTCCCTAGAACATTTCACAATAAGGACCAACAGAAGCTGCATAACTATTTGGCATTTCTTAGTATGCTTTAATCTAAATTCATTCTGACAAAAATCACACTGCTTGGCTGCAAGTGGAATCAAACTTGTACTTGAGGGAAATTGGTCGCCTTAATATTTTTTTGCAAGCTGCTTTTTCTGGCAAAAAAAAAAAAACAAAACATACTATTCACCTCTCCAGGAGTAGGGAAGTCCTAATTTTGCTCTTTTAAAAAAATCTATGGCTGTCGAAGAATCTTCAGAATCTGTCATATTTCCAGATGTGTTGCGATGCCTGTTTTTTTGCCTCACTTTGCATTTCTTTCCCCCAGCCCCTATGTAACTACTGTGCCCTGAGAACATGTAGAAGCAGTGAATGGAACCAAAGCGGAAAAAACAAGCGTTCAACACTCCCAGAAGCATCTCAGATGCAGAAGATTTGGAGAGGTACATAATCACTGGCTTTTTTTACATTCTGCCTTTAAAAAAAAAAAATTAAGTCAATTTATTTGAAACTTATTGCGAGTTTAGAACTGCACAGTGTCATTGCATAGGCACCTACCTTTATTTTTGGCTTTAACAAGAATGGGGCATAATACTTCTCAGCAAATGAGGAAAGAGTCCATTTTGAACAGTTAGGCTCAAGGCAGTGAAGACCGGACTCGGAAAACTGAGTAAGCAGGTCCCGCGTAGAACTTGTGCCTTCTGGTGTCGGACTACTGGAATCATGGGGTGTTGAGAGAGTCGGCTGGACAGATATTTCTGATAGAGGCTCTGCTGTAGTATAATAAGACTGAGTCCTTGGGTCATACTCTGTCCGCAGCTGAACAGTTGACTGCATGGTGATTTGAGTCTCGTGAGCAAAGCTGTGATTGCTGTAGGGTGCTTGAGGGCTGTAGCGTGTATTATCATTACTGTCCAGATATGCTTGGGGTTCGATCTGAATCACTCTACTGACACAGGGACTAAAAGAAAAGGATAACACGACTAAGTACAATCCCAGCAGTACTTAATTATAAAGTAGCATCAAATCATTAAACTGCAACAAAAGGGCCAATACAATGAAAAGCTTATAAACTGAGTACCTCTGTAATGCATTTGTTCTTTATACAACATTCACATTACTTTCCCATATTCTAACATTCATGTGGCCTTTAAAGAATAGGTTCACCTTTTAAAAAAATAAATGCACATCTTTTTGCATGTAAAAAAAAAAAAAAAAAAAAAAAGTGCATTTATAATTTTTTTTTTTTTTTTTTTTTTATTAGGAGACATTGCACCTGCCATCAGAAGATCACAGGTGCAATGCATGGCTCCTGCAGACTAAGTGCAAGCTATCTTCTCATACCTCATATAGGCAGGCAGTTATACAATGACAGGTGCCATCAACGAACTACCTAGAGCAGGGGTCTCCAAACTTTCTAAACAAAGGGCCAATTTACGATCCTTCAGACTTTAGGGGGGCCGGACTGTGGCAAGTAGGAGTAGAAAGTGCTCCGGAATCATTGGGAGTAAACAATACCACAGGTTTGTGTTAAGGTCAGTGGGAGGAATAGTGCCTGATCATTGCTGTTAGTGTAAAAAAAAAAGTGCCCCGTTGTTGGTGTCAGTGGAAGGAATAGTACGCTATCACTGGGGTCAGTGGAATGAATAGTGCCCCATCATTGGTATCAGTGGGGGAGGGGGGGGGGGGAATAGTGCCCCATATCAATAGGAGAGAAAATGCCCCAAAGGACGAATAGAGGAAAGCAAAGGGCCACATCTGGCCCTTGGGCCACAGTTTGGAGACCACTGCTCTAGAGTGTTCAGCAGTGATCTGGTAGTTAACTACAAGCCATCAGCCACAAAGGCTGGTGGTAGTTGTAATCTTCCCAGTCACTTTTTTTTTTTTTTTTTTTTAAATTGTGACTGCGAGTTCAGAGAAAGAAGATCCCCAGGCTCGCCGTCACTAGAATCGGCATATCAAGGAACGGCTGCGGATGTTACATGTTCCACCCTACTACTTTGTAGTGTACAGAAAGTTACAAAGAAAGAGTTGGACTTGTTTTCCTTCACAATGGGAGACCAGTCACTCAAAACGCTAAGTCCTCATGCACTCTGGACGTTTTGATAACGCTGGTAACGTTAACTTTGTAGAGTCACATTAACAACGTGAGTTTTTCAGCTTTTGTTTAGCATTTTTGCATTAGTGTTTAGCGGCGCTTTGCCACGTTTGCGGTTTTTAGTGTTTTTTTAACCAAAAAAAAAAATTTTTTTTTGGTAGAAAAAAAAAAACCCATCCAAAAACACAGTTTTGCCATGTTTTTTCAGTGGTAAGAGTGTTTTTTTAACAGCTAAAAAACTCCTAGAAACCCACTAGTCCTGGGGTTTTTTCCAGCCAAAAAACATTGATTACAGTCTGTGTGTGCACGGACACATAGGATAACATGCTGGGGGCTTTACTGGCTGTAGAAAAAAAACGTCAAAAGCCAAAAACAGCAGCTGTAAAAACGTCCAGTGTGCATGAGGACCAGCACATAAGCAGGTATTTGCTAAATCTAAAGCTTACTGCTGCTTGTCATGACATTGAGGACACACCCATGTAGCCCCCAGCATGCAAGAGGGTATGCGATCAAACTAGTGGAAGAAAGGATTCAGTGCAGAGATACTAGTCTAAAGGCAGAACTAAGTAGAGGATTTATCTTGCTTATAAAAATTTAGGAGGATCACAATTTAAGGGTGAGGTCAGGACTGAAAAATGTTTATCTGGCTATAATGGGAATAACTTAAAAATTTTCCTCTCTCGCTACAAAGATTTACCTGCTGAAACAGCAGAAGATGTCCAGCCTTCGATCTCGCCTTCGATACAGATCCATGCTCAGAATGGCAGGAAATATCAGCAGAACCATGGCAAAGTTGAAGACAACTACAACAGCAGCCTGCAATGAACCAAAGAAAGCATTAACAAACAGTCCTTGGACTTAATAATTACTCTACACACAGCTTTACAATGAAACTAAAAATATTCCAGTCCAAATTAGGACCGTGGTCCGCTCTGAATGATAATTTGCCCTTCGCTTTGTGAATGTGAAAATCCACCATAAAAAAGCACCCAATCACACACAAAAAAAAAAAAAAAAAAAAAAAGGATTTTTGTGTGCACATAATGCATGATGGAAGTCAGCAGAGCTTCACCTCATTTAAGTGGTTTTAAACACTTACATATACCCAGTGAAGTGACTGGCCTCAAGAGATACACAGATGAATCAAATCATCCTACATATGTTGTACCTATTTATTTACAGCCATTTATCTTGTACATCCTTGTAAAACTTAGAGATGAGAAGGATTTTTCACAGACTCACAAACCAAGGATCTGGAGCAGGGGCGGACTGACAACTCACGGGGCCCCCGGGCAATAGGGGATCATGGGGCCCTGTGTCCTTGCCCATACTCAAAAAGGCCTATGAAAAAGGTACCAGGGGCATCTCATGGGGCCCTTCACTGACCCCGGGCCCTCGGACAGTGCCAGAGTTTCCAAATGGTCAGTCTGCACCTGGCCTGGAGAGCTCCAGTTATACACTGTACAAGAGCTCTGAGAGTGGACTGGAGGGAGGAGACACCCCCCTTCACACAGTACACAGGAACAGAGCTAAGGCTGTCAATCAGCTGGAGTTCCCTCCCCGTCACTTTTTTTCTCTTGGTGTCAAGAAAACTTGTCAGAAGTGATTCATGCTGATAACAGAGGAACAAAACAGCAGAGAGAAATATTACTTAGTGCTTTGGAAAGAGGCAAGTACACACAACAGAGGGAGATGCTTTGTTCAATTTCAAATCGAGGTTTACAACTACTTTAAGGTGAGGGAAAGTTGTCTTGTAAAGTGAACAGCCTATTTGGCTGTAGTAAATTCAGTGATAGCATGTCAACATTATTGCATGGGTTTTTTTTTTTTTTTTTTTTACACCATTATGATTTTGGTTTTTATGGAGGGCACAAGTTACATTTCTGAGGGTTGTCCATTGGAAAAAAAAAAAAAAAAAAAAAAAAAAAGAAGATCTGGGTCATTAGCATTAACTATGGTAGGTTAATTGGCTCCTGTTTAAATTGTCCCTAGTATGTGTATGTATGAATGTAAGTTAGGGACCTTAGATTGTACGCCCCTTGAGGGTTAGGGATTGATGTGAATGTACAATATATATGTAAAGCACTGCATAACTTGATGGCGCTATAGAAGTACTTGAAATAAATAAATAACAATAAATACCTATAGAACACACAGTACACACCAGGCCTTACTAATCAAGGCCTTGGAAGAAAGAACTGTCTGTATCCACCAAAGCAACCAATTTGATTCTAACCTCTGCAAAATTGTGGTTACTTTGGAGCAATGCAAACATATTTGTTCCTTCAGACGTTGATAAATGAGGCCTTGTATCTGTCACAGCGACTGATCAGCTCAGATCTGCCAGACTATACAAATCCTTCCTATTTGGTAACACTGAAAGCAGTTGTAGAGATTCTGTGCTGCAGTGTTTGGAAATCTGGAGCACTCTGCCTGTAACTGATGTCAGAGAAGAATGGGAGGTCTGTGTTAGAACTACTCAGGGAAAAACTAGTATGCCTTCTCAGATGGGGCCCTGCCCAAGGTATGTGTGTTTTCTTTGCCATTCCTGGTAGACCACACAGGGAGAGTGGGTGTACTTCATAGCTTGAAGTGATGAGCAGATGAGGATGCCTGTCAGCTCAAGCTCCACATTACAGCTGCCCTTCAGTAAACTCCCTTTTTTATCCAGCTATTGTGAAAAGCTGCTTTTTGCGCAATATATGACTCCAGAATTACCTTATTCCTTTAAGACAGAGGTTAGAAAAGGATGACAGACAATGCTAAGACAGAAGTCAAAAAGAAGCTGCTGTGATTTGCTTTCATGAAAATGTTTTTAATAATATACTCTATAGGAACACAATAGTTTTTGATCTGCAGAGAATCAATCATTTGCATTATCGATTATGACTTTGTAGATTCTTATTTAAATAGCATTTGGATTTTACATCCTCTACAAACTTCTGAAATACTATTACACACTTCTCAAAAAATTAAAGGAACACTTTTTAAACAGAGTATAGCATCAAGTCAATTAAACTCCTGGGATATTGATCTGGTCAGTTATGCATGCCATAGACGGTTCGTTTATTGGCCGATTTTTCGTTCAAAAGAATAATCGGCCAATTTTCGCACTGTTAGTGGGGCAATGGCATCAGCCGATTTTCACAGTTCCTCCTCATTTCGTTTATCGATCATGCTGGAAAATTTGTGAAAAACAGCTGATTTTCGCAATCATTGGTGGCAACATCAGTTTACAGAGCGAACGATGTTTCGTTTTGTGGACGAAAAATCAGCCCATAAACGAACCGTCTATGGCCTGCATTAAGTAGCAGAGGGGGTAGTTAAAACAGCTTCAGCTGCTTTGGTATTAATGGAATTAACAACAGGTGCACTAGATGGGAAACAATGAGAGGACCCCTAAAACAGGAATGGTTTTACAGGTGGAGGCCACTGACATTTTTTTCCCTACTCATCTTTTCTGACTGTTTTTCACTAGTTTTGCATTTGGCCAGGGTCAGTGTTACTATTGGTAGCATGAAGCCATACCTGGACTCTACAGAGGTTGCACAGGTAGTCCAACTCCTCCAGG